GCCAAATTTGCGGGGTGGGGGGCGTGGGGGGCGCTCAGATTTTGGTGCAGAGGCTGTGCCCCTGCTCCCGCCCTCAGCCATCGAGGCGGCCCTGCCCAGTTCTGCTAGGTTCCCATCTAGCAAGACGGTGCCGCAGGGAGCAGAGGAGGGTGCTCAGGGGTGTCCTGTGTGACGTGGCACAGCCCATCCCTGGGCGTGGCCAGTCCACACCTGAGCCTGGCAAGGACTCCGGTCTTTGCTCCTCAGAGGTCACAGGGGCAGCTGAAGAGCTAAAGGTGCCTGGGGCTGCTTTCGGGGTCCCCGAGGACACGCTGACACCCGGTTCTCTGCACCAGGGTGCAGGAGCAAGGATGGGTGGAGAACCTGCTCCCTCTGCACCCTCTGTCCGGGCATCCCCTTGTTCCCTGGTGGGGCCAGGAGGGTCTGAGCACCGGGAGGTTCTTGGCGCGTAAGAGGGTGGGTTGCTGTGCTGCCCCAGAGATGAGGAACGGGCGCTTGTGGGACAGATGCCCTGTGCACGTCCTTCCGAATTTGACCAGAGAAGGACCGATGCCTGCCAGGGGAGAGAGGGTGCTGGTCATCCCATGCGGGCTGGGAGCGGTGGGAATGGATGCGTGTCCCCTCCTGCCACCGGCACCCAAGTCCCAGGGCACCTCCATGCAGGGGCGAGGTTTTTAGCATCAAGGGCTTTAACAGCATGTGGCTGAAAAGCTCCTGGAGCTCAGGACTGGCTGTGCCCGGCCCGACCCATTCAGCTGGGATTGCCCTGGCCGTAGCTGTGTTTCGGAGATGGGCGAGGTGCCCGAGGCTGGTGGAGGACAAAGCCGGGGTCTCCATGATGCAGCTCATCCTGCGGTGCAGGAGGTGCAACCTGAGGACGTGCTTATGGCAGCCTGGGTTTTGTGCTTGCAGAGGGAAGACGGCCCGCGTCATCAACTACGAGGAGTTCAAGAAGGCGCTGGAGGAGCTGGCCCCCAAGAGATTTAAGGACAAGAGCAAAGAGGAGGCGTATGAAGCCATCTGCCAGCTGGTGGCAGGGAAGGAGCCCATTAACGTGGGCGTCACAGTGAGTGAAGAGCCCCTGGCAGCAGGAGGGCTGGTCGGGAGGGGAGGACGGAGCTCTGCCTGCAGCAGAGCAGAGACACTTTCCGGGGGACCCCATGGCCCTGGCTGGGCTGGCGATCGCACAGGTCCAGTGGGCACGTCAGGGTCCTCGGTGGGTGTCAGGAGCCTGCGTGGGGCAAGGGATGAATGGGATGGGGCATGTTCTTGACTCCCGTTGCCTGTCTCCCCACCGCAGAAAGCCAAGACGGTGGGGGCCGTGGAGAGGCAGACAGACACCTCCAAGTACACGGGCTCCCACAAGGAGCGCTTCGACGAGAGCGGCAAGGGCAAGGGCAAGAGCGGGCGGGAGAACATCGTGGACACCAGCGGCTACGTCAGTGCCTACAAGAACGCGGGCACCTACGACGCCAAAGTGAAAAAGTAGGGACGGGTGCCCGTGGCACCCACCGCCCCGGTCCCTGCACGTCGGCCGTGGGGCCGGCGCTCACATCAGCCTTGGGACATGCCCGCGTGCCGTGGGGCCCGGGGGGGTGCCCC